GCTTGAAGATCAAAATCACGAAGCTTAACTGAACACATCATTTCTGATCGCTCAGAGAACACATCATCAAAAACAGTTGCTCATCTATCGCTGATAAAACCACATGGGCCAGTGACGGCTGTGGGAAACCTTCGTCAATCATTGCAATATGGAGTTACATAAACAAATACCACTTCAAACATTACCGTGCAAATGTGTATATGGAATATGTGTACCATGGTCAGACAAGTCGGCATTGAAGATCTTTTCATGACATGCCCATATATCAGTCGACAACACAATGCAAAACCACGTTCTGCACACATCACAAAGCGATGGCTGAGGAGGGAGAAGGCATGGCTGGTGCACGGACCAATCCCAAATGGAGACAATATGGAAAATTGTAGAACTAAAACGTGAGGACAGCCGTGAACTGCCGCACACCTGAGGATGTTTTTCAGGCGTTAAAACTAAGTCCCATTTGGAACATTCCATCACATCCTAAAAGCCAGAACTGCAACCAAATATTGTATAGAATGATGAAAAATGTATATCTGCTCACAAATTCAATAATTGCGATGACAAATAGCTTGACTGGATGTGCCTGTACTTTTCAGGCTCATGGACACTTATGATTTCCAAACTTTTTTACTATATCTTACCAAGTACCAAATAACAGTACTGATAAATAGTAGTAATAATGATGATCATTATGTAGATAATCAGCTGATCATTTGTGGGTTTTGCTGTTTTTGCAAACACACTCAAAAGAGAAAAAAGGATCAGATTCCTGTTGTTTTTTTGTTTTAGTTTTTTGTTTTTTTTGTCATTTTTTTTGTCCTTTAGAGAAACAACAGTCCGGCCAACAATGCATCAAAATGTATTACAACTGAAGATTAAATCAATTTTTCATAGACAGCAGGATAAAGTGTTATCACAAACGGGTCTTTGCTGATCTCTTTCCTGTTTCCCGATTTGACCGTTTTTGCAGATCTGAAAGACAAAAGCAGGAGGGATCTGGTGGCTGGTTGTGTCTATCGACACTGCCTTTGTGAAGGGTGACAGTGTGGACACTTTTAACCGGCTGTCGTGTCAACAGTGCTGGCTGCCCGGGGTGTGCTGGACAGGTTGTCAGCTTTCAAAGCAGTGTGAGGCTGCTCTCATTTTAACGTTGGCAGCTGCTAAATATGAATGGAACCGCAACGTTCAAGATTTTGTAACTCTGTGTCCCTCTTCTTTGTCCCAGACTCAGACTGTTTCCTTTTTCCTTTAGCAAGGAAACCTTCATTTTTCTTCCCTTTTTTAAACAGATTGAGCACGGCGTATTGAATGACTCCTTTTTAGAGCAGCGCTGCTTAAAGATGCCTCTTGGGGTTTCGCTGAGTGAGGTATAATGGCTTTGAGATTTACATGGCACAATGCATTTTCTGCACTCAGAACGTATATGTGTGGTTGTAAAACTGCACATCAATTAGATATAGTAATTATATAGTAATTACCTTAACTGCATGATTTAACTCTGTTTAGAGTCTGGACTCTTTTTGCCCATATGCGGTGTTCAAACTCCAAAATAAACAACAAACCATCATTCTGAGTATGATTTTTTAAAATCTCAACCTTATAGCATTTCACATACGCACTTAACAAGCTAAGGAGGTGATAGGAAAGTTATTTGCATTGATTGTTAGAATGTACATTATGCAAAAGTGTTACCCCTGAGAATTCAACAGTTCATTGGATGTAAACCTGTGAGTTTTAATTGTACACTAATATATTCTTTCTATTGTGACAAGCAAAGAGATCCTGATTTCCCTTTCTATGGTTCATTTTTTGGGGTGAAACAATCAGTGAGAAAGGTTGTGTGGATGCAAAAGGCCTGCAGACAGACTCCATACTACACAGTTTATCTTCTGATCCGTGCCAGGAATTCTTCTTCTTCCTCCAAGGTTTTGAAACAGATGCTTTCCTTTGATGTGTCCACGAATCATTATTTGATGCATGATCTCCCTCCATCTGTGTGATCTCTTCATTTTGGGCCTTTGGCTCCTGAGGTAATGTTCCCAAGTCTGTCCAGCCTCATCCCAACATGGTGCCTTGACAGAATCATAAAGCAGAATGATTTATAAGACCCTAGTAATCTTGGAGTAATGACTGTTGACTGAAGCCTACTGTATTTCAGCGTGCGTGAGGCAGTAGAGCAAAAGCTGTGTATGCGGAGAGTCCTCAGAGTTTGCAGTGTTCCGTGTTTTGTCGCGTTTCTGACCAATCTTTGGAGCGATTCTTTTTTTCCCCCCCTTTAACAACAGATGATACACAGATCTTCAAAACGACACAGCTGAAACTGATTGATGTTGTATTCTGTTACACTTATTGAAAATTTAATTCTGCAATGATTCTTTCTAATTCATTTTAGTGGCTCCTTTATCTGTTAGTGATAGAATGTACGCATTCATTGTAACTGTAGTGTACATACAACAAATACATCAACCGTCAAGTCAAGTCATTTAAGTATTTATTAGATAACAGATAATCCTGTCAACAAGAGGTCCCACACTGTCAAGCCTTTCAAACGTTTGATGGTTGCATTGCTAATGATTAATGGTTAGTGTCTGGCAGTCGTCTTCCTCTGAATATAAACATCATTAACACGGTGTCTGACATGCATTTATCTGTCTATGGCTCTGAAACCTGCGGGGATATATCAGGTAGACAGACAGTATTTCAAATGTCAGTTGGAAACATGGAATGAATAAATCACCATTCGGCTCGGCCAAAAGGGCTCAAATGAATGATGCGGTCGCCCTGTGTTCTACAATTTGCATATTTCAGAAAGAGAAATTAAAGGAGGCAAATGTCAGTGGCACCAGTGCATCATCATCACACGTGCAGTGATGTCATCGCTGCCACATCGCATACCAACCAAAAAGCTGTTTTTACATGGTCTTCGGCCGCATTTATCTCCAATTTCCTTCCATCTGGTTTGAGTTCCAGTCAAAGCCAGTGGTGATAAAAACAGGCTTTACTTTGAAAATGTGCAGTACAGCGACAGAGGACACGGCAGATATTCAAGCAAAGTCGTGTGTCTTGGTGATGACTTTGAGTCTGTGTTCATCAACAGTGAAGCTTTTGCGTAATCTTTTGTGACTGTGCTGATGACATCAGGAAGAGCTGTGTCCCAGCTGTATTCAGGAGGTTCTGCCATAAGGTCCATATATCATTGTTATGATCCCAAGGGCCATCTTATTTTTGGATCTTCTTGTTATGCTGCTCATAAATGCTGGTTTAGATTAAAATGTATTTAATGTGTAGCTTGAGTATATTTGGGTGACTTGCTGTTGCCATTGAAGTTTCTTTATGCTTCGTTATACCCAGCTAAGAAGCACATTCATTTCTGAAATATAAATTATGGATAACAGTGACTGAATGGACTTTTATTTTCAAAGTTGTTAAATGACAAATGTTATTATGGAGATACTGAGGCCTAATCTGTAAATATTGTGGGAAACAAATTATAGAATGTAGTGAGAAAGTAAAGTTAGAGCCACACTAAAAAAGCTTAAATCTACATAAAATGGAAAAACACCTCATTTCCATCATGAAGGATTTACCACTTCTTTTACAAATGGACAATGATTACTATAATCCTCTCTTTGTTGGTTGTTTTGAAGAAAGTCTTTTGGATCATTAAACAAGAAAAACATTAAACTTTTCTAGGTCATAAATGTCTAACAAGAAGAGCTGTAAAGTTTCTGGATAACTATTCCAATAAGCTCCGACTTTATTTAATCCACATAAATCTGCAGTGTTTAGCGGACAAAATTACTATCTAAAAAAAACATGTACTTGTGAGTCTAAGTAAGGCATTTATTTAAGGTATATCAAGTCTAAAAAGAAAGTTTAAGAAATGGCTTTGCACCAATATGAATACTATCATATTATGAATGGCTTTTTTTAAACCAGAAATTAGCCTTGGTGACTAGCAATATAATCTAATCAATAAGAATAAAGCATATTTTTCTAACATAAAGCTTCTCATTTCCTTTTGTAAAATAATATCCTTAAAAATAAGAATGCCCCCTGAGACCTGCCAAAATCCTATCCAACTGTTCACGGTGAACTAAGCCAGTGACAAATTCTCCCAGCACCTTCCAGCTTTCTCCTTGGCTTGTTGCCATGTAGTAACACACCCTCAGAGGGAGGAAACATTTCAAAGAAACATCTGATTATGCGGCGAACAGGCTGAAAATTGAGCCAGAACTTAAGCAGACTGTGCATGCTCAAACTGAGATACCATCAAGAGGTTATAGATACACGCTGTAACAGACACCTGCATTACCCAGAGAGCGCTGATCTGTTCCAGACAGTTAAAAGGACAGCAGAAATCACCACGCAATCTCTACAAGACCATTTGATCATTTGCAGCTCGTTTGAAGTTGAACCGAGGTCCCAGCGAGATTACCATTCAAGATTGAACAAGATCTAGCAAAAAAAGCATGAAAAAGAACAGGGAAAAAAGGAAGATAAAGTAAATTAATCCCTTGGCCGGTCTCTTCTCTGCATTTCGGGATTTTAATTTGTTGAAAGTATCCTCGATATCTATGACAGAACCTCTCTGTCTGGATTTTCCACTTGTGCGGCATATGGGGGCCAGCTGGAGCTCTTTGTATTTACTGTGCGAGTGTTTGATTGGGGTCACTCGCAGGTCTGTCTCGCTTTATGTATGGATGACTGATCAATTTGGAGGTCACCACAGTTCCATTGAGATGGCTTCACAGAACTGGAGAAATGTCACTTTTAAAATGGTAAATGCTGATCTAGATGAAGAACACCTGAAGCAGGCTCCTCAGAGAGACTATAAGATATCTCAGACTCAACTGCTGGAACATGAACTGTGTTCTTAAAACACACAGTGGGCAGGCAGCGTAAAACTATGCTATGAATTTCAATCGCTTTGGGAAATTTAAAAAAACAAAAACAAAGATTAGATAAAGGAAAAGTACACCAATTGTTTTTTGCTAAAAACCGTTTAATAGACAAGGAAGATTACAAATCTGATCCCTTTGTAACCCTCAAACATTTGATTATGCTGACCAACTTCTAAAAACAAATTACCACATGGAAAATATTCGTAACTTATAGGAGGAGAAAGAAAATAAGATGAAAATGTAACAGAATACCAAGACGTTTAAAGCACCACATATACATGCACAACACAGTTAATAAAAGTTAGGACCAAATAAATAGCCTAAATTAAAAAGTAGTTTTAAGGTTAGGAAGTTTAGGATCACAATTCACAACTACTGAACTGTTTCAGAGTGATGACACAAGCAGTGGAACAAAAATCATCTTGGCGCCCCTTTTCAAAGAGGGCACTGTGTGAACTGGCTGTGAAGACCAAGGCACTCAACGTCTGCTCCAAACACCAGTCCAAATGTAACAGAGCCACCTGCACACAGACAGGACAGGGCAGCCTGGCCAGGGCTTCGGGGGTGAGGGGGGGGGGAGGGAGTGGACAACCAACCTAGGTGAGGTTACTTTCAATTTAGACATCACAAACGCTCAACTTCCATTCAAGAATACGCAAGTAGCAATCAAATGTGTTTTTAAAACAGCTCATTATTGGTCTTCAGATTAGTAAGAACTACCAGTGAACAGTTTATAGGTTTGTAATGTCGGTGAGAAACATCCACTTTGAAAGAGAAAACTGGACTTCAGAGCTACTTCGAAAGACGCAAATACTGCTGAAATGTAACGAGACAAAAAGCAACTGAAACCGGTCTCATGCTCTACAGTTAGGCATTAAGCTAACACAGACAGAAGGAGTGAGGGTTGAGGTCAAGTGAGTGGTCCCCACATACATCATTTCCGACAAAAGCAGAGCCCACTGTGTTCCCATGTTTTTGTTTCATCTCTGCTTGGAGCTTTAGGCCTTCTCCAGTGACTTATAGTATTCCTTCAATACTGTCCAGGCCTTCGGTGCCATGAAGCCGTCTGGTGGGTTCTCACCCTCACGAGCCATCTTGCGCATGCGAGTGCCTGAGATGAAATCATAATCTTGATGGCTGCGGTCAAAAGAAAAACAAGAGTGTGAGACTTATTTCAATTTGATGAAAATAGGCCAATCGACAGCTCAGCCAGTGCGGGGAGGCGGAGGGCCAGCTGCTGTTTAAGAATTATCTGGATCGGGAAGCAAGCCAGTTAGCATTTAAGAGACAAAACCTTACAGAAAAGCACAAAGGGAAAAAAAACTCAGCCTGCACTACATAGGAGCCTCAACAAATCCAGGGTCTCTTTGGGTGAGGTGTAATCAAAGTTAGCTCTAAATCTTTAACTCAGCAAGGACAAGCTTTACACTAATCACTCTCTGTTTGAGGCCATCTAAACATTCCCTTTGGCTGAGACTCGTCTAAAGATGTTTATGCGTGAGAGAATTAAATGCATTCTGCCTATGACTTTTATTGAGCTTGGACACAGAATTTTTAACTGTAAACTGTTTTTTTCCCCTTCAGTTCTTTTTCTTCAATCATCCTTAAACGTCTGGGAGGCAGTGATCACACATGTATGGATCATATGTCGCCATGGTGACACACTCCAGTAAGAGGTGAAGCTTTGTGACACAGAGCTGAACCTGAGGTTACCTCACTAAGCCACTAATCCTGATTCTTAGTGCAGGCTCCGGGAAATCTACAGGACTTCTTCTGGCTGCAGCTGAATCTTAAAACTACCAGGAACCTGCCGTTTACTCCACCAACACAAACTCTAACCGCATCTCCAATTGTTTATTGTACAATTTTTATTGAACACTACTTTACAAACACCTCTCTCCTCTCCAACTAAAAAGGGGAAGTCTGACTTTAGATCAAGACGCCGAAAAAAGCCGTATTGTTAAACCAATTTACTGCACGCTCCCAAGTCTTTGAAATCAGGGACTAAAATTTCTCAGCCTCTTCAAAACTAAGATGGTGTTTCTTTCAGGCAAAGAATACCGTTTCCATGCTTATTCTCCCGGGGTCGTAATGGAAACAGATTCCTCTAATATGTGCCATTAAGCCTCAAATAAAGACTGAGGGGTGATGTGATTAAAAAGGTCGTCCATTTTCCTCCTGAAATTTGGCAGCGAGAGAGAACGGGATTCCTTAAAAGTAACCGAGTGACGACCGCAGATTGAAAATCCATTAGTCTTTGCTCTGTTAGAGCTTGCTCCCTCGCCTTGAAGCGACAGTGAAATGATATTACCAAAAGAAAAAGCTTTGTGAAATGTGAGATTTTCGCTCAGACCAACAAGATTTTTCTTGTTCAAACACAAATAGAAAGCGTCCAGTATCCTTATATTTTTTAACCTTTTAAAACATTTCTTAAGACAGTTCTGTTTCTCATACTGTTTTTTTCACAAGTCTTAATGAGGGAGATTGAGTAAGATCAGTGCAAATGAAAATTAACAACCAACAATTTAAAATAAAAAAACCTTTAACCGTTAATCAAGCGACTCTATCGTGTCTCAGAGAGGAGCCACATGTCGCCGATCAACAGTTTGCTATGGATTCTCATCCCAAATATGCATCATGGAAAACAAAGCCGACCTTTTGATTAGTCTGAACATTTCTGGCTGAATGTAGCTCGAGTTGCATAATCTGATGGAGGCAGATCCATCAGACCAAAAGGAAAAGCAAAGCAACTGCATGATTTTTGTTAGTCATCGTGTGCAGTGTCCATATACAGACTTTAATCAATGGCAGCTCTCTGTAATTTTGAGCAACATCAAAGGTCATACTAATCTCCCCCCAAAAACTTTTTTTCATACTTTAAAAAAACCTTCTAACTGAACGAGGAAGAAAAACAATTGCTGTTATTCTTGGCTCCGCTTTGCACTGCAGATAGCAAAGAGGGATGAAAGAAAGAAAATGCATGACGGGCTTCATTTTGTAAACCGGACAGGCCTAATGAGAAATTCATTCAGAGGGTTTAATGTCTGTTTAGGCGACCTGGGCTAACTGGCCTTAATGTGTGGTTTTACTCTGGTCTAACTCCACAAACAAGCTCTTAAATGTAGAGTGACTGTTGACCTGTATTGCATCACATAACACTCGGAAATAAACTTCAGGACACAGGGAAAAAATAAAAATCATAATCAAGGAGTGCTTACTTTTTTGGGTCATAAAAGTCCATAGCTCCTTTGACCTTGTTGTAAGCAGCAACCTTGAAGGGGACGATCTCCAGAGTGATGAGGCCTGGGGCCATGGTGAGGACCTTGGCTCCGTGAGAGGGCTCATACAGGTCCTTTCCAGTCTCAGGGTGGGGCATCCCTGCAGGGTCTCGACCTACAATATAGAAATTGGCACCTGCCACCATGCGTGCTCTGCAGTGCCACTGAACCTGTGGACAGAGAGGAAATACAAAACACAAGTTGTGGACCACTCAACGAGAACAGTGTGGTACCGTATGATGAGTTGTGCGAGTCCTTTTTAAAGCACAACCTTTGAGTTTATTCAAAATCGATTATTTTCTATTTTCAAATATGTTTTTTTCCTTTTATTTCCAAGTTGATTTCAGTGAACATAATAAATCACAAAAATACATAATAATTTTGTAGGTTCTAACTGTTTGACATTACCCAAAATACTTTTCAATGACTTATTCTGTAAATGTGAGCACTTGAATTAGTTATCGTTTAAATGGCTGTTAAATTGCTGCTTTAATGGCGAGACATAGTACTAAAGCTAGGCCTGTGTCTCGCTGCAAAAACTTCCAATTCACAATTACAAACTGACTAAATTCACTGCCTCACATCCACCAGCCCACAATCTGTTCTCAATGATTTGCACCATAGCTTTTCCATTATCATAAGTGAATGATTAAAAGATTCCCAGCTACACAACTACGCTCAGTCACACGGTGGTTTGTGTATGGCATGGAAACACTGAACAGAGTGCCTCAAGACAATTGTAAATCCCTTTTCCTGTCATTTGTCACTTTAAAAGATTTGCAGAAAAATGTGTGTCCGTCGTCCTCCCAGAGAGGGCTGCCATCATTCATAGCTGCAGCCGCATTTGTGTCACTTCTGAAGAAAGCATGATGCATGTGTTTAAAGAAACCTCAAACATGCAAATACAACAGATTATCATTACCTCGGTTGGCCCTGCATACATCATGGGGGAGGGAAAAATGGCAACAATGGTGGAGTCTGGGTTCAGGACGCCCTCCTCCAGCACAGCAGCGTGCTGCTTCATTCTCCATGGCAGCGGCACGTCGTCGTCTTTGGTCCAGCCCCCCAGGGGGTGGAGCAGCAGGACGGGCCGGCGGTAGCCGCGCTCGATCAGGCGCTTGTGGGTGTCCTGCATCAGGAGGGCGTGCCCGTTGTGGACCGGGTTACGCAGCTGGAAAGCGAAAACGGCATCTGAGCAAAGAGAAAGGGGAGATGAAAGTGATGCTGAATGTCAACCGAGCACATCTGTAGACATCTAAACAACATCTAAGCAAGACAAACAACAGACCGCAGTGTACCCAAAGAATGATCGGATTACTGCGAGCCCAACGTCTGCAACCACTGATAAATAAGCAGATTCATGACAATCATCTCCAGTGACACTTTTTCCAAAGAGTTAAACTGAGTGTAATGCCAAAAGTTATGCTCTGCTTGTACAAAAAAAAAAAAGAAGCTGTTGATTATAATGTATTGTTTCCTTCTTTGTCTTGACATTTTATTTAATCTAGTTATCATCTACTTAAATGTGTCCCCGTACCAGCATTCATCTCTTTGAACTTCTGCTTTAGCTCAGTGGGTGTCAGCCGGTACTGGTCAAGCCCGTCGTTCCAATAAATCCTGTCCAGAACCTGCAGTTCTCCACCGACCAGCCAGTCTCCACTCTCCATCACCATCTGAAAGCAGAGGTCTGATCATGATGACGGCGAATATACCTTCAAATCATAACTGCTCTAAAACCAGGCCAGAGCAGACTTTAGTTGTCACCAAGCTGCAAAACCCCTGGCAGTGTAAAGGCTTTATAAATGTGTCATTAAACTGTACTAATAACATTTATACAAAATATATGAAAATATATAGATATATTAAATTGAATCAACATTTCTTTGTTTTGAGAATGTGGATTCAAAAGGGATGAGCTTTGCATCCCACTTTAGAATAAAAAGGTTAAGTTGAAAGCAGAGATAAAGATCTGACGTTATTCCCCATGATGATAATAATAATAAATCCCGGGATCGTCCTTGTGACCACGCAGTGGAGAGAAGTCTTACTTCTTCTGATTCATGCTGCAGTGTTACAGAAGAGCTTAGGATCCAAGAACAGGCTACTATTGTTTCAAGGAGTATCTTTTGCCCGCCTCCTGTGGAGCTCGTGAGAGCACATCTACAGTTACTGAAAACACTGGGCTGTGTCATTCTAATGCAATGCAAGGGGACAAATTTGTACATGGAAAAATCCATCTATGCGTATTGTCTCACTGACACATCGTTCGTCATGCGAACACTCTTTGATATCAATACTTTAAAAACAGGCTGGGTTTCTCTTTGATGTTGCACACTGTGCATAAATCAGACTGCAGCAGAGGTGTCTAAGTGATGTGATCTAAAACAACTCGCCTCCATTTGTTCAAAGAAGTTTTAAGACCATCTTGCGATACTTTTCTCCACAGTCCAATTTGCTCAATTTGTCCAGCGCCGGCCTGATGTGTCATGAAAGACACACTGCGTTTGTGGATAAACCAAAGAGGCTCATACATACACAGGGACCCTGTTGAGCCGTTTTAAATGCCACAGGTATTCACTTGTGAAAAGGGACCTAACCAAATAAACAGCCTCTGCACCATAGCTTCCGGTGAAAGTTGGCTCTGTCTGACAGACAAGTAAACAGGAAAAAGTGGATTAACAGCATGTTATGAGGAGCTGCTATGGTGGTAAAGGAGCGCTGACAGACTGGCTCCGGTGCAGGGAGTTAAACATAAACTTATGTATACATACACAGACTTTAATGAGCGACAGCTTAATGAAGACAGGCTGAACACACATGTTCGGTTGGAGTGGACTTGAAGAAGAAAAAAAAAGATCGCAGTTGTGGAAATAGAGCATGCAGAAAATGTGTAAGGACTGCACTGTGGCATCAGGTGTTGACAGTGGTGAGGCATGGTATTGATTTATTTAACTTTAAACATATTACTGGACCAGATTTCCCTGAACAAGGTGAGGACTACCACTATCTTCCACCCGTGCTGAAATATTGAGACAGCTGCGGTGACTGGACTTAGGAGGAGCCAGAATTTTTCATTGCCAGGGACATTAAAACAAGCAAGCGGTAACACACTTACAGTAAGTATGACCCCAGGGAGTGAAATCACCACATGCCACAAGGGTTAGTATTATTTCTGGTTTGAACCTTTGTCTGTTCCCGGTGGATGATCAATTCACTAATCCCCAAAACAATAGTACAAAATTAGCCTGGCGAGCTACTTTTAAAAATAACAGTGTGTTATCATCCTAGAAAGATGGGTCTATATAAAGGTTGGCTGTTATTATTAGTAAGGCCAGACAGGTTTTTATAAGTGCAGACACTTTCCACACAGTGAGATTTGAGCCACCCAGTGTCGGCCTTAGCCTCACAGCAGCTGCTACCTGAGTCGCCCAGTATGGGAAAGATGGAGAGAAAAAAAAGCCCGGATATATATGGAGAACTCTTGTACGAACAGAAACGTGGACGCTGGCAGCTTTTTTAGCGGACGGGCAAAGGGCTGAGCATCCAACTGTAACACCTGCAAAACAAGGGTGGACCAAAAAGATCAAGTGATTGCACAGGGCACTGTGACAAGCTGTGGGACAGGTTCCATCTCTCCACATATTCAGTCTTTCCATTGGCAATATGAAAAGTCCAGCTGGGATCTGTGTTCTATCTGTGCAGAATCTAGAGAGGCGGCCTGCTTTTAAATTCTCTGAGGCAGACAGTCTGGAGTTTTGCACATTTACAGTATTTTCTTAGATGGATCTTTACATGTGTGCTAAACTTGTTAGTCTTTATTTGGTTCGGGCCTTTTGATGTTTAGCTTGTTTTTGTCCCACCTGTTCTAGACGTGATCAACGTTTTAGAACACATTCAAAGAAAAACTCCACTGTGCTTATTTAGGTAAAACAGATTTCTAAAAGGGATATCTGAGAAGTGGGAAGTGGTGGACTTGACTTATTTGTTTTGTAAAGTGCACAGAAAAAGACTAGCAGAAGAACTTTTCACATGAATTCTGAGAAGCACTTTAGAGCTGTCCAACGGAATGTTTTTTAAACTCATTTATGTCACATATTCTATTGGCATGTAATTTAGCATGTGAATGCACTTTGCTATCCATAGCTTTCAAATAGAAAGATTACGGTTTGTTCTGGCCAGCTTTGTGTAAAAACCGGAGTGCTGTCAGCAGCAGAGGTGTCTACGTGATGTGATCATCGACCCTTTGGCTCCTCTGAAAGATGTTTTCAAGATTGTATTGTGATTTGTTTTCCAGCCTCTAATGAATCCAACCTGCCCAGTGCTGGCCTGCTCACGGTCTTGAAAGATGCTTCACAGTGTTTTCCTTTAGCGAGCCGATTTTCTGAACCTACTTTCAGTCCGTGGGACACATGCTGTGGAGGGGGATAAATCAGAGGAGAGCAACGTGTGCATGTTCTCTGCTTAACCAGAGTAAGAGCAACGCGACTTTGCATGTGTGAGGAAGCCCTGCGTTTGGTGGAAGGACTCAAACTACCTTAGGACAGAACAGCGTGCCAGTCAAACCCTGACCTTAATGTAGGGGTGGTCTTTGCAGGTGGTGCCCCACTGCCGAGCACAGCGCTCTTCTTTCCTGTGCACGTAAAACTCCGGGTTGCGAAGGATGGCCACTCGTCTGCCCTCGTAAATCAGAGCCATAGCTGTTACGCCGTCCAAACGCTCTTTGTCTGTGGTTGATACTGGCAGCACCACGGGCACGGAGAGATTTATCACACCACCTGCAGGGGGGCAGAGGGTCCATTAACAAAGAGAAGGTGACAGTGAAAAGAAAAACAACACACTGATGGTGATGCTGCCTTTGTGGTCCTGCTTCCTGTCTGATGGCAGAAAAAGACAGATCAATGCCTAAAATAATCTGACCTCTGCTCTTTTCTATCTTTATCCAACATTATATATTCCTATGAAGAGTAAGTGCTCCTTTTTGGGGTTTAGAGCAACATCTGGATGTAAACTGGTCATAAATCATACACGAGTCATTCTAAAGAGTACATGGTTCTTTTAAAAACGCACTTAATTGCATGTTTTTATTTCAGAAATTGTCAAATTAATTCAATATGCAAGCAAAGCAAAAAAGGTAACACCAAAGTTGAAATCTCCCCGTAAATAGAAAGATGTTGACTAATACCAGATAAATGCACAAGTGGAATGGATAAACTGGCCAAACCCTAACCTGGCCCCGGTGGACCACACGCCATTTGGCTCCCACTGCTCCACAGCTTCTTAGCCGTTTAAGCATTTTGGACAAAAATGCAGAGTTTCAATTCAGGAAACAATTAGCTAAACTACCACATGTTTTTTGATGAATCGACAAATCACAGCACAGAGCACATATATTTCCAGACCTGGGGAATCAAAATTGATGCAGCAGCCGTTCAAACTCGAATGCAAAAATCTGACCGTGACAAGCCAAAAACTAATTCTGAAAAAACATAACAAGGGCAAGGGCCTCCTAACAATAAAACTGCATGTTTGCCAAGATGCTGAGGGTGGGTCAGCTTACCCGCTGGCTCATCTTACCATACTGTCACCTACTCAACTAAACAAGACAAAGAGTAAACTGTCTTTATGAATAGGTTGAAGAAACGTTTGAATCATCATATGACCCAATGCTGTAGGGCTTTAAAATGCGCTCAGGTCCCTCTGGTTTAATTGAGCTATCTTTGAGCCCGACTGCACTCCTCCAGCCGCTAAATGAGCGAATGTGAGTCCGACAAAGACTCGCAGCTGTAAACCTGCCAAAGGTATTACAAATTATTGAAACATGAGTCCACCTCCATTTTTACTTGTTTTCGTACATCGACTCTCTGTCATTTAAGTGCAAAGAAATAATAAATCAGTGATTTGTTTTACAAGGCAAAGCGGTCCAACCACCGCTGCAAAGATCCATGTTGTTTGCCCTCAGGCTCAGAGTGGAGTATACACTTCAAACACAGCGGGTTCTTCAGGCTGCAATTTTAGACGCACAAGAGAATTTTTCTCCCACAAAACTGGAGCTTTGTGCTCCCTCCTGTCATGATCTGATCTGTGTGCTGACAGCAGCCTTTTTCCCCACCTTGATCCAGGTTAGTAGGAAAATGCCACGACGCGCACACTTTTAACATTACATCAGAAGGAGAAAAACAATGGGGGACAAGAGGAGACTGCGGGTGCCCCCTGCCTCCTGCAGGACCGCCCTCTGGTCCTCTGTCACAGCGAAGAGCTCACAGCTGGTTGCAATAAAACACAAACGCACGACTTCCAAATGTCCACAAAGGAGAGACGCAAGCTTGACTTTGGATTTGTGTTTATCTCTGCTGACTCCTTGTTTAGTGAAACCTGCAGTTTTATGCCTCTGAACCGGTTATAATATTATATTGTGTGTAATCAATCCATTCACTGTCAAATCCATGGAAGGAAGTGCAAATGAATAAATGGCGGTGTGCGGTGTCAATCAATACAAACCTTCATACTCTGTGTCCTTCACTCACTAACAGGAAAGCGAATCATGACCTAACATCTAAATATATACTTATAATTCTGTCTATGATTCGCAGATGTAAGGCTGTTTTTGCTCTTCACTTGTTAAACTTGTCAAAATGTAAAAAATAAAAACAAATTTAGGTCAATTTGACTTCGTTGTACTGTTTGTATATCTCATTTTAGAGAGTGTGCGGCCAACAAAATCTTTACCATCACAATACAGAACAAAAGTTTGAGTAGTAGCATGTGTCCTAAGAATAAAATTAGTTTAATTTCCTTTCCTTTGAAATGATAATACGGAGATCTGAAGTTATTATACGGCCAAAACGGACATGCCTTTGGTGACATATTTCTTTGGAGCAATTCTTCAACTTGAGCCAAAATTTTGAGGTTTATGAAAACCACTATAACTCCTGATCAAATGCTTCAATACGCAACTTGTTTACTACTTTCACTGTGCCCAGTGCCCACATTCTGGCAGCTGCTTGATCTCCAAACAAGAGATCACAACAGGCAGGAATGTCCCTCAGGCTGACCCAATCTTAACCGTACTACAATTGAAATTTTAAAAATATGAGATATAAAAGCCCACACAAGCTATAAAATTGACACAAATGTACATATGGAAAAACTGCTCTGCATCCCAAACAGAGAGCTATGTCCTATTTGGGATAAATAACCCAATCTGTGGAGACTCAACTCCATCTAGTGCATTTTCTTTTAACAGGACCCAATGAGATGATGTTTTCTTACCATCCAGGAGACAATCGAAATGAAGACACTGTAGAAATTCCCTCTCTCTCATGAAGCCATTCAGAGGGGTGGCCCAGCCTTCAGCCAGCACCTGCACCCACTGCATGTCCACCTGAGAATTAAACATTACATGGGTTAACTAAACACACTTGGAGCAGCTTAATGTGTCAGAAATATAGAACAACATTAGATATAAACGCTTCAGTAGTTGATTAGTTTGTTTCATTATGAACTGAATGAATCAAAATTTGAAAGTTAAAGACCAGTGTAATAACCTTTCCGATCTGCACAGCAGGAAGTGTCTCAGCATCAGCCTTAGCCAGGTCCAGCTTATTCTCCTGAACATACAGCTCTTTGACTTCATATGAAGCATCAACGGGAACGATATCCTGTAAAATTAGACATCAAAATATCAATGAATTGCTTCCGAGAAGAAAAATATATAATTGAATGTGTAAAACACCCAGCATGATAAAAGTATTTGGTCAAGGTTTTCATTCCACTAAAGAAACAGATAAACACACAGTTGGATCAGTGCATTTATGATCTTCCTCTGCCCTCTGGTGGCCAAAACACAAATTTCAATAATCATCAAGTCAGAGACTCTGATTTAACTTATAAAGTTGGCTTTAAAGAGGAAACCTCTCAAGAAATAATATATAAACATTTAATATTTGTGCTGTTCACCCGTTCCTGAAGCAGGTCAATGAGCTGCTGAATGCACTCGTTCACGTTGCAGGAGTCGGTCTTCAACACCAGCTCTGGTGCCTCTGGCTTCTCATACTCTGAGTCAATGCCAGTGAAACCTGATCAAACACAAGAACAGTTTTTGGTCTCGGGATTATTTAAAATATCCAACTCCTAACCAATATTTTCCGAAAATTGATTTCCATTACTGTATACAATGATCTTGAATAAACAGAATTGTGGGTGTTCTGTTACACAGTTCGTAAACCTACTAATTGTGCGCCCTTTAATTCTAAAGTGCACAGCTGTGCTTTATAACAACATAATCTGCTCTACATAAACACTCTAAGTTCAGCCGAGCTACGGGCAGAAATGCACCACTGATGAGGAAACTGTCATTAGTTATAATAATACAAAATTCAGGATATGAAGCAGAACATTGGACAACAGGACACCATTCAATTCCACATCATTAACAATCATCTGCAGTTAGTTCCAGATTACAACTGGAAAAAGAAGTGCAAAGTTTCACCCCTTGTGGCACAGAAGGCAGAAGGCCACTGAGTCAGAGTATAAGAAATGTTTAATCAGTGCCTTACTTGTGACAGCATGTCAGAGTACAATGTTCAGAAGCAGGACCGGGCTCTGAGCAATAAGTTATCAAATAGAAAGGGATGAATTTTTTTTTCTTCTGTTTTTTCAAATTAATGCAATCCCCATTAACAATTTAATTAATAGAAGTAGTCGTGATTCTGGCTGTGTGAGGGGAGGAGGACATATTTACCCAGTGCCTCATTAAGGGTTTGAGCTAATATCGTTTGGTGTTTGGATGCTGAAAGGGGACGGCAACCGACTGATAACTTGTAGTTAGGATTCTTTTTTTTTTACAACGGGGCATTTAGAGAAGTTTGTGTCAAAAGCACCATCTTAAGATCTTCTACCCACATAGTTGCCTCTTTAATTGATTTTACAGAACCAACAAGATGCAGAGCTGAAACTAATCAAAGATCTACAGCTCTCATTAGAAACCTGCAACACATAGATATAAAGTAGTTTCCTTAAAATACCAAATCTGTTGGAACCAGGGAGTTTTTCAATGAGCTCAAGAGTACTGGGAGGAAGTTTAACTGTTCTCGACAAGTCGGTGACATTCATGGTTTTGTCTCAGTCTCAAGCTGCTCTGGTCTTGGTACTGAGTAGGTGCTGACCTGGTACTCCTTACATTAGCGACTGACAACTAATCACAATTAGAAGTAAACTTTCAACATGTTTTATATTTCTGCTGGATTGCAGAGCTGTGAAAAACCTGTCTAAGTGGAACATTCAACGATTTGTTTTAGCAACATGTCTAATGGGAGTAGATTTTTGCCTTAACATGTTTTTGCCCAAATGTGTGGCGAACATACAAACAGATGCCATTGCTGTATTTCATTGTGATATCATTCGGTTATAATCTACACTAATGCAGAAGTCAATAATACACCACCTCTTATCTCCCCAGCTCTGGCTCGTTTGTAAAGCCCCTTCACGTCCCTCTGCTCACATACATCCAGCGGAGCATCCACAAAAACCTCGAAAAACGGCAGTCCTGCTGCCTCATGGATCTTTCTGGCATTGAGGCGATCCTGTCAATGAAAAATTAGGTGCACACAGTAGGTTTGCTAGCAGGGCTAAACACACCCGATGTACCCCTCTGGTCCCGGTGCTTCCTTAACTCACCCTGCTGTAAGGGGAAATGAAACTGGCAATGCAAACAAGGCCTGCATCGGCAAAAAGCCGAGCCACCTCAGCAATGCGTCGGATGTTCTCTTCACGGTCCTCAGGGCTGAAACCCAGGTTCTTGTTCAGACCCTGACGAATATTGTCCCCATCCAGTGTGTAGCAGGGGATACCATGGCACACAAGGTACTCCTCCAGAGCCATGCTCACCGTGGTTTTCCCTGCACCAGACAAACCTTTGGGAGGTACAGGAGTAAAAGCATAGGCTTGTGGGAAAATAACAATGGAGGATACTCAGAAATGTGTTCCAGTAAAATGTTGCATCCTACCAGTCAGCCAAACAGTGCAGCCTCTGAATCCTCCTCTTGTACCCACAACCTGCCCACGCTTGTTTCGGCTCACATGATGAGCTTGATAGGTTACATTAGTTGCACGTTGCATTCCCTAAAATGACAAAAAGAATCTGTGCCATTTCATCCCACTTCCAGAAAGGCTTATGGAAAAAATAAGTTTTAAAAACCCCCTTTAAGGCAGCACTTAACTGTGATCTCCCCCCAAAAAATAGCAAGCTGTTCTGTATTGTAACAAGAGTTCGATTTAGGTTGGCGTTTTTTTTGTTTGTTTTTTACAAAAAATGAATATAATATTGATGTTATAATTATCTAAATCAACAATAACTCTAACCAGGCATTCGCTCTTACAAATGAAGTATTATGCAAAAAATAATCAAAAAAGTTTAAATTAACGGTAATTTAAACATTAGCATAGGAAATAAACAATCATTTAAGTAAGCCAAACACATAACTCCACATAAAACATATTTTTGTAAAATACCTTTTTGGCACTTTTAGCCAGCTGCTTAATAAATGTATGGTTAAATCTTTAAAGTTGGGAAATATTTATTCTATCCTTTACAGATCCGCGTATCTGCTCCTTTACAAAGTCATCCGTTTTTCTGTTAGACCTACTTCCGGCCCGGAAGCACAAAAATAAAAGCATGTAGCAATAAAAACGGAAACAAAATACAGAGCATACGGGCTGCCATAATTACAATAAAAAACCTTTTTAAGAGTTCATTACAAATTATGATGTTGTTACAGTTGCCTTTTTTAAGCTAAACTATCAGATTAAATTTAAGTTAGTGTATTGAATGCATTCAAGTCTGTCGGTATATCCTACTACCTTTAGTGTATAGCAGTGTAGCTAACGTTAACTACGCTAACCGGGCGACCCGCGTCTCAGGTCTATGGCCGGTGTCCGGATGTGTGTGTGTGTGTGTATCACTGTGTGTGTGTGGGGGGGGGGGGGGGGTAAAGAAATGTGTTCCACTGCCACAACTTAAAGAAAACTCACCCAGCTCTCGGCGGCGTTGCTGAGCTTCTGTTTTTTGTACGAGTTGCCATGCGTCTCCATGGCTGACATCAGGGAGCGGCTAATTCAAGTGGCTACGTCTTAAAACACACGCACGCACGAGGACAGCGCAGTCTTTGTTCGCTGGCGCAGGTATGCGCCGATGTCGGCCACAGGTACAGCCCAGGGGATGGAGGAGCCCGGAGCCGGGGAGCCTGGCACGACCACCGGGACGAGTTCGCCAACCGCCACGTCACCGGCGCAGAAGTGACGCATTTCCTCCGTCCGCGGTTGTCTCGGAAAAACCGATCCGAAGTCAGTTTTCTGTTACTCATCATTTTCTAACGCAGTGGCTATTTGAGAAATTCAACTGATCTGTGGCCGTTGAGGGGTCACAGCGGAAAGGAAAGTTCCAGTTGAATAAGTAACATTTAATATTTATATTCATAAAATAAAAAAATAAAAAGATGTTATTACTGAAATCATGTTGTGTTAAATAATTCATCAATGGCTAAATTAGCACAAATGGAAAAATAAATAATATTAATATTTAACGTGTTTTATTATTTGAAAATTGTTCAACCGCCCTAAAAAAAAAATTAAAATATTATCCAGTCTATTTTAAGGACTTAGCTTCCAACTTACAGCTCTTCAGTGAGAACAGCTATTTCAATCAAGTGCATTCAGATGCCTTGATTACAGGCCAGTGTGACCCGCAAAATGAAAGGAGATGTGAGGCGAGAGGCTGGTCCTGGGCAGGGTCTGGGCTGGGTCTGAGGGATTCGTGGGGCTGCAGGGAGGAGCGCCTCCTAAGGCGGGCGGCAGTGTCGCGCAGCGGCCGTGAGGAGCAGAAGGCAGCCAGGGCGCAGCAGCAGCAGCAGCACCGGGGATCCGAGGAACTGCAACTCCAGGAAGAGCATCTGAGGAAGCCCGAGCAAAGCAGGTAGGATGCTACGAGCTCTGCAACGTGTGATGTAAATGCTCATACCTTGTCATTTTGAGGGGGGGGGCCCGTAAGCCTGTTTGCATATGTTGGACAAACAACCGTCTTTGGCTGTAACGTCAGACGCTGAATCGCATCGTAAAAAACGTCCTGGATATTTTCAACTTTTTCATCAGTCATGCTCGCACGCACAAGCATATGCTGTCGGTGGGAATTGTCAACATCTATGAATGTTATTGTGTGTTGTGGAGTTAATGTGCATCCTTGCTTTAAGTTGCATCCTCTGGTTCCTGTTGGCTGAGTTGTTTGTTGATGATGGGATGAGAATAAACGCTGCAAGCAAAGGCTTTATTTCTGAGTCCAATGCACTAAGAAAACAGCCCTGACCTGTATGAAGTGCAGCTCAGACCATCCAGCTGTTAATACTTGGGATGGGAATTGGTGGGTTTAATGACAGGGAATGTAATGACCTGTTGCCCCACCCTGTTGCCTCAAATGTGGAACCTACTGTTTAACACTGTGTGGGGCCATTGTGCCACCACCCAAAAGTAAACTTCAAACCCGGCTGTGGTGCTGGGATCACATGTGACAGACTGCCGCCCTGTAATATGGAGAGGCATCCAGCCTTGAGCCCGACTTTACTAACCAGTATCCACCCCACATGTGGTTACAGAACCCAGAAAAGTAGGGGTGGATCCCGGCACAGAGAGACTATTTTTGTCCATGCCGTTCAAAACTGTTGTCTTTTTAGAATTACAGCACACACAAAAAACTTTGTCCTTACAGCAAAGGATTTGTTTTTATGAATCTCCTCAGATGTAACATTAATGTTTTGTCTTTAATGCAGGAGACAAGAACTCAGAAAAGTTTTGTCAGCATGCTGCTCTTATAGGGGCAGTTTCCCTTCTGGAAGCTCTCTTTTTTGGTGGAGGGGAACAGCGATCTTTCATTTCCTTCATATGTTGCCAGACTGTCTGGGTGTGGAACGGTAGAGTCTTATTTGTTTTCCAGGACAAACATGTGTAGTTCCCTTTTTATATGAATAAAAGCAGTACCTATTTCACCTCCCCTGTCATCTGCTTCACCAACTGTAACTGTAATATAGCGTTTAAATGAGCTGCTAATCTCAGAGATTCACATGCTTTTTAGTAACTCAGGATGTGAAATACTGGACCATTCTCTACAGTGAATACATTATCAGTTAAATATTTTGATATAATTCCTTTTTGTACAATGATCTTTTTTGTATTGGAAATTTTTTGTTCTTTGAACAAATGAAATCATCAGCTCTTATCAGTTGTGGTGATGCAGAAGTTCAGAAGAGTTTTAGGAATTCACTCACTTGCACTCTTAAAAAAGACTATTTTGATTTTCTCCCGTTGGACCTGGAACGCTAGTGTTTTGATTGGCTTGTCTCATATTTCTTCATCATATTTCTTCATCATATTTCTTCAACATATTTCTTCATCTTTCGCTCATTTGAGCCTTATTTATATCATATTTAAACACATACATTGCTTTATTTTCACGCTATACTCTATTCACGTACACTTGATTAACAGAAGCCATAACATGTTAAGGCAAACCTGGAAAACTTTCCTTTTTGTAACTTGATTTTATCATGGACAAAATATATTTAGTCATGAGAAGAAAACCTTTTTGTTCACAAAGAACATAAAGAGGGGTAATGCTAAAGATGTCAATCCAAAGAGGGCAGCATCGACTGCTATAATTGGTAGAGGGCAGGGCCACTTAAAAAGAGACTTCTTTTAAACCCATCCTTTGATGAAGACATGATGGAAAGATTCAAATGAGGGGCCGGTGAGAGGAGCATGCTATTAGGGAAGCCCCAAAGTGGAGTGAAAACTCTCAATTTCCGACAGTAAAATACAGCCCTGAAAGTAACCTTCTCTGGAAATAGCCTGGCTGAGTGGAGACAGCCGGGTTATCCATCGCAACAGCCTGTGACCATGTAGAATAGGCTTTTCTGCCAGTTTTCCATCACAACCCATCCTTTCCGATGGCTCGGTGCTCCGGTCGGTGGGAAAATACTGCACACTGTACACGAGAGAGGAGGGCGCTGGAAAACGTGTCTAATGGAGGCACTCTGCTGACTTCCCTTAGCATTACATACATTCTGCCATCTCTCTATGGACATAGCAAAGAGCATACAGAACGTATATTTAAGTAGACCTTGTTCTAAACTAAAATAAATTTAGCGATGAGAAAAAAGAGGCAGAATTCCGAGAAAGGCCGTTAGTGCTAACAGAAACTCCCAACTCTCAGGTGTTTGAATTTTCTTACCAGTGTCAAATGGTGAGCTTATACTAAACAAAATCTTTGATTTTTGACATCAGAAACGGTATTTCGGAAACTGTTTCCTCACACACTGCAAACTCCACATGACAGCAGCAGTAGTAGCTCTCCCGCTCATACACTGAACGTTTACGTCTTGCTGTGTAACTCACCATAGAGATGCAACAGAGACCCACTGAGACATGGCACTGTAATTAGCTTATCTTATACTGTTTACTTGCTCTTGCTGGTCTAATTGGCCATCAGTATTAACGTGCATTACTAGCTCTTAAAGTCTGTCAAACTTTGTGCTCTGTGTTCATCTATCTGTATAACACAAACTGAATCAGCGGAGTGTTAGAGTGCATTCTACTCTAATTCTATCTATGCTGTTTATATTTACCCCAAAATTGATTCTAAGAAAACGTATCCATTCAGCAGCTTTTTTTTTTTTGTTTCCGAGCACATGACATTTTTTAAATTTAATCTCGCTGCTGAGGTACTCTGGCTGTGAGCAGCATTCTGTGGGACTACATCTATTGTGATGCTTTCCAGTGTCCATATCAATAGCCCTCAATCCATTAATGGAGCTGTTGAAGGCTCTAAAGTACCTTTTGAAGTGAAACAATTGAAATCTTAGTTGTGATGGCGCACTCTCGTGTCATTAAGGGACAATAGCGCAACAACAAACATTTCACCCGCTTCATTTACCGTCCGGACACCAGTAGCATCCATAGCTCCCAATAACAGATTCATAAATGTGTTTACGTTTTGCATTCAACCAAAAAGCGCCTTAATTGACCATAGCAGCTGCTGTACTATAAAAATATCCAAAGAAAGAAAAGTATCATTTGCATCATTAATTCATAAAACCCCAACTTGGACAGCTGGGTGCTGTAAACACGAAGAGAGTTTTTTAGGCATCTTGCCATTTCTGCATCAACAAAACCTCAAATTCTCCATTGACTTTTTCCTAAAATAGAAGAGCATAACAAAGTAAACAAAAAAACATACTGAAACTCATCTCCTTGCTATTTCTCATTGTGGTAATTTGATATTCCAAATGCAGCCAAAACATGTGCACGTGTAAGAGTTTGTCTGTTTTAACCTCTTTTTTCTCATCTCCCATGACAGTTTACAAAGCTTCCCTCCTGTGGGTGGACATTGCTGGCACCAATGGCTTCACAGGAGCTTGTGAACGCCAGAGAATCTGCTGCTGATAATCAGAACCCGGGCATGGAGGAGGGTTCTGTGCCCAGCACCAGTAAATCCTGTCCCGTCCACGCTCCGGGTGGTGAGGATGCCAAAAGGGGTTTCAGGAAAGGCATAAGCAGGCATAATGACTATGTGAAGATCCCTGTGCCGGAGTCCAAAGTCAATCGTCTGCCCACGGAGTGGTGGAAGACCGTGATCGCTTTCTTTTACGCTGCCTTTAACTTGGTCCTGACAACAGTTGTGATCACAGTCGTGCACGAGAGGGTCCCTCCCAAAGAGAGCAGCCCGCCTCTTCCCGATAAGTTTTTTGACTACATTGACAGAGTCCAGTGGGCGTTTACAGTAACAGAGATCAATGGCATGGTGCTGTTGGTTATTTGGATGATCCAGTTGTTCTTCTTTAGATACAAGTAAGAACAATTTGCACTCTCTGTTGCATGCTGGTTTTCTGACAGCTCTAAAAATGGGTCCAGTGACACTCTGATATTTGTGGCATCTATAGCCTGGTTTCCATCACTGTGTTTGATTCTCATTTAATAGTGTAGAAAGGGAATAGAAAATAATTTCTTCACTTGAACGTCCACTGTGTCATCATCCCAGACACAATATTTCAGAGACATTTCCAGAGCCTAAGGTAATTCACTAAGAATAGTTCTCTGTTTTAGTCTTGTGGATATCCACTGCAGCAGGTTTGTTTCCAATTCAGTCAACTCCTCCTTTTCATTGATTACAAAGACTCACACTGTACCCCTTTCCTCCATGTTGTGGCAACACTCCACAACCTTGTTTAACCAGTTAAACTAAACATATTAAAATCACACTTCTCTTCTGTTTTTTGGTGACTTAAAATACATCCTTTCAGGTTCACTTTGCCAGTAAATGGAAACCTGGCTCGTTATTTTATGGGGTATTTGTTGGCAAAATGGCAGAAATATAGGCATGAATAAGACATCACTGACTTGCAAGAGGTAGGAAAATGTTCATTACTGGAAAAGAATGAATAGGCCTTAGTAGATCCCTACTGTTTGTGTCATAGACCAGGTCTTCCAATAAGGTAAATATAAGACTGCTTCTGTTATTTCTATACAGAGTCATGCAGTGAAGTTTTAAGTCCACAGTTGCAACTTATCTGTAGGGCTATTACACATGAATTATTCTGAGAGCCGTATGCGCCCTTTAGACCAGATGATAAAATCAGACATCCACCATTTTGATATAGCTGGAAAATCATTTATTTCATCCACTGTTGTCATGAAGTTTTCCACATCCTAACCATTTTCATGTAGAACACAGCTCTGTTTCAGCACATCACAAGCGGTTCGGGATTCTCATTGAGAAATTTGATTTATCAAATCTAATTTGCTGAGCTGAAGTTAAATTTAGAAGATGTTTGCCCTTTAATGTTTACTCACAGTGGAAACCTAGAAATATTTGGACTTCAAGACAAAGACGTGAATGAAACAGTCGAGGGACTGCATCTACAGCCCTCCACGGTGACCGTCTCCTTTCCATTTTCAGGTCAATAGCGTGCAGACGTTTCCTCTTCCTCATCGGAACGCTGTACTTGTACCGTTGTGTCACCATGTACATCACCACCCTGCCTGTACCCGGCATGCACATGACCTGCGCTCCCAAGGTGAGTGTGTCCAGAATGTAAGAATGGTTGTGTGCAGCCGTGCAAAAGGAGAATCTTTTTAGAGGGGAAAAAAAACCCAACATTTCAGCTTTCAGTGCCTGGGGTGCAGCAGTGATATTGATGTGCGTCAGTGTCTTATGAAAACGTGTTCCTGGCAGCTGCTTGCTGGGCTGGGATGGTCCAGTGGGGTCGGATGGTTGATAACAAGATTCCGTCTCCCTTTTATTTTTATCGTGCGCCGTTAAATCTTTGTTATCCGTTAATATCCTGCTGCCATGTCAGCACCATGAGTAACCAGTGGAGTCAGGAATGTCAAGCAGCTGCTTTAGGAGGCCATTATTTTTAATAATCAAAGATTAAAATCAACTTCTCCATCAGCTTTACGGAGACTCCCAGGCAAAACTCCAGCGGATTCTGCGGCTGATGTCGGGCGGAGGCCTTTCCATGACAAACTCCCATCTGTTGTGTGGAGACTTCCTCTACAGTGGACACACAGTGATGCTCACCCTTACCTACCTATTTATCAAGGAGTGTGAGTACTTGTTTGTTTGATTGTGTGGAAAAATTTATGAAATCCTCCCATGAAGAATTCATGAATTACTGCGAGCACTTCCGTTGCCATTCCAGCAGGCCCTCATCTTCGTTTAATGAAACTACAAATAGAACTTCTAATCCGACTTGTACTGAACAGCAGAGCTTTAAAAACACCAGTTATGCTAAAAAATCTTAAATTCAACCAAAGTTAAATTCTTTGTGTTATTGTGTGTATGTTTTTATTCCTGATTGGACTGAATGCCGGATGCTTTTATCAACTGGATCAAAGAAAACAATACGACTTTTTAAAACAGGGTTTAAAAAGGCAAAACATATACTGTTGAAGGTGTTTTTCTTTCATATATGCTACGACTTTTTCAAATTTGTTCAAAACAGAATGTCCCAGTGTTGTGATTTTTACTTTCATTTCTATTTTAAAGTCAAGAGCAAGAACAAACCGCAGCTAAATGTGGACACTCTTCCTCTTTCCATCCCTCCTCCTGCAGACTCGCCCCGGTCGTTCTGGTGGTATCATCTCATGTGCTGGCTGCTGAGTGCTGTGGGTGTGGTCTGCATCTTGGTAGCGCACGAGCACTACAGTGTGGACGTGGTCGTGGCCTATTTCATCACCTCCCGACTCTTCTGGTGGTATCACACCATGGCCAACTTGCAGGTCAGGACGCAGAACACAACACTAGATGGCTGTCGCGTGGTCTCTGAGTGTGTGTATGTGTGTTTTCATGGTTGATCAGGGAAAGAGCTGCAGAATTACTGTTACACACCTTATGAGAATTATTTTGCAAGAAGACAGAAGTACACATGCATTATTTACTGTAGGTGTTTAGATTAAATTGCATGTTTAGAAATGTATTCAAGGGGTTTCCAACACATTTTCCCATCCATTTTCTGAACCGCTTATTCCCTCATGGGGTCGCGGGGGGACTGGAGCCTAACCCAGTAAGCTAAGGGCGAGAGGCGGGATACACCCCGGACCGTCCACAGAGACAAACAAGGACAAACAACCACACACACTAACACTGACTCCTGAGGGAAATTTGGAATGTCCAGTCAAGCTAACATGCAGGTTTTTGGACCATGGGAGGAAGCCGAAGAACCTGGAGAGAACCCACACAGACACAGGGAGAACATGCAAACTCCACACAGAAAAGTCCTGGTTCCCCCAGGGACTCGAACCCAGAACCCTCTTGCTGTGAGGCGACGGTGCTAACCACCACACCACCGTGTTCATTCATATTCAAATGAAAATTATTTATGAATAGCTTAGTCTTATTTTGTACTTGCTTTGAATAACTCTGGTTAAAAGTTGAATTGCCCCCTCTACTGGAAATTATATGAACAGACAATTGACAGGGGATTGCATCTAGAACGAAATGTAAGATTGCACGGGATATTAAAGAAAACATTTATACCATTTTCCAGTTAAATAGTCAAAATAATCTAACATTATCCTGGAAAAGGTTTTCCCCATTTTATGCAAAGTAACAAACCGATCCCTGTTTGTACATCTGAAAGAGTCCAAATTCTCATGAGGACATGCTTGTTAAAAGCATCACTTTTCCATGTTGAATTTTTTCTCCAATTTCCCAACTATTTTTAACTTACTGTTGTCATTTAACTTAATAGATATTTGTTGAATGAATCCAGAATTTACAAAGTTATACTTGGACTTCTCTCAGCTGCACTTAATTATTCGATAGTTTGTAGATAGATTGTAGATAGTTTGTACTTTTTTTCTTTTACATTTTGCACTTTATCCAAATTTTACTATGCTGTTTGTCTCTTATGAGTGTTTTTTTTTACTTTTTGAGGCTTTAGTTGTAGGAGTCCATTTGGCCTTGACAATGTGTGTTGTTGCTTTGTTTTAAACTATTTTGTTTCTGCTCTTACGGAGATCTTTTACTGTCTTGACAGACCCTGAAATGTTCGCCCAATAACTACCTCACCAATACCTGGTGGAACCCTCTATTCAATTTCTTGGAGAGGAATGTTCAGACCTCTGTGCCGTGCTCGTACAGTTTCCCCATCGCCTGGCCTCCTGCCTGCCTGAAAAACCCCTGCAAGAAGTACTCCATGGTGCAAAGCACCAGAGAGGAGTAATGCGACCTCGAGGCTTCAGCAGTGCTGCTGGACAATCCTCTGAAGTGGTATTCATTCAATTAGTATTGTCCCTGGACAGGAACCAAAAGCATAGTTGTGAAAGAAATGTTTTAGCAGAAATAGGATAATCAATATGTTTCTATATTTTGCCACTGTGATTTATTTATGAAAAGAAGTCTTTCATGCTGCCACTGTTTGTGAATGAAACGTGTATGTGACATTAGTTCCACCCTTGATGGATAGTTTTTTTCCCCCCTCTTATTTGTTTTGTAGAATACTTGCAGGCTCTGTGCAGTACTTGACTTTGAGTTGGAATTTCCTACCGTAACTCCTTACGAGGTTTTGATGAGTCCCTTTGATTTGATATCCGTGCGTTTCAGTCACAAGGTGCCTTAGTGTGTGAAACATCTGTAGGTTGACCAAAGCTGCCATTATCAGTCGCGGTTGTATTTTTATATGTGCTTTATTCTCAGTCATTTTGTATTCATTTCGGTAACTGTGATTCTGTATACCCAAGGTGTAGTCTCAACATTGTACCACTGTATTAAACTTTAACCAAACAAAGTTGAAGTGTGCTGGCTTCATTCAATCTAATTATCAATCTCACCAAATAGTTGTGCTTTAAAGTACCAGTACGTTAGAAATAGTAATGCAGAGTTCTGCGTAACTTAGTGAAGTGCTCAGTGTGGCTCTTTAATAGAGATTGTAATAAACACTTAATAAGATATTTTTTTACAACAATGAATGTGTTGTCTTGTGACAATGCACATCTTTACTTGATGCTTTTTACAGAGCAAGGAACAATTTTGGATATTGCAACACATTATTTTGTACAAGACCACTGAGCATGGACTGTGAGAACTGGGGACTTGTCCTGTCAGCTGCTTGAGCCTCCGCAGCCTCAGTACAGTCTAATGTGGAACAGACTGGGTCTACACGTGCACAATTGGACCAAAGCGGCACGTATGATCTCCAATGTGGCATTTTTCAACGGGGAGTTATTCTTCTGCACCTAATGCATAGAAATCCCTCTCAAGAGTCAGAATAAGGGATGACCCATCATCTCAATCATTCCAAAAGCGGCGTTATTATCCCCATCATAGATTGATTTGAACTAATCTGCTAAGCATTTGTAAGGATGGATAATCGCCAATGAATAGATCTTTAAAGCTAATTTCATAATCATAATAATGGTGCGTTTCCACTCCTTCACAATTCAATTTACCTGACAGATTACTGCAAAGTTCAAGTGCTGTTGCCTGCAAGACAAAAATGAGGGCAGCATATACAAATAGGAGTGTTGTCTGAGCGGTCCAATCAGAGCAGAATAAGCCGCTCTCAGCCAATAGGAAGCCAGGATCAGATATAACGTTACTTATTGCCGTTTCACAACAACACAGGAAGAGCGTGCGTTCGGCTCCGAAACAAAACTAACTTGCTCCGTCTTGTTGGCGTATTGGGAGAGATGTGCCTTCAGTGTCTGCCGCGGACCGAATTAAAGTGAATTTAACGCCGACACCATGGTTTCTCTGTCATGGTTGGGGCAACTGAGCAGTCTAGTCCTGTCACCTTCAAACACAGTGCCATTACTTGTATTTGTCGTAGTTTATCTGTTCCTCTATTACCAGAAGCAGCGAGAGAAATATAGGAATATCCCCCCCGGTCCGAAGCCGTGGCCCATTTTCGGCAACGTCGGAGGCTTCCTCGTCCCTTCTTTTGTTCGGAGGAGATTTGGAGAGGCGCCGAAAAACCCCAACATGAGCGTCATGGATGCGCTAACGCTGCAAGCCAAGGTCTACGGGAACGTCTACAGCCTGTTCGTCGGGAATCAGCTGCTGGTCGTGCTCAACGGCTACGAGGTGGTCAAAGATGCCCTGTCCAACCACGCCGACGTGTTCTCTGACCGACCGGACATCCCCGTCATCAGCATCATGACAAAGCGGAAAGGCAAGCAGCTGGGTTGTCATTGTTTGGATTTTTTTGTTGTTATATTTTTTGCATCATCCCACAGAAATGGGGCCCTGGCTTTAATTGACTCAGTGTGTCTCTTTTCTGCGTAACAGAGTGGTAATAACCAGGTCAGCATTTATAGAACCAGCACAGCAGAGATAACAGGCATCACTCACAAAAGTCAAATAAAAAAAATTATTTAGATCAATCTGATAATTTTGTCTGGGTGCAGTGGCTGTTGACCTGCTCCCATATGCTGGATATCATTTAATGTGGGAAACTACAAGATAAATCAATCTAATAATAGTAATCAATCTAACCATTTATGAACAAACACATTATTATGTTGCATCTTGAGTTTAGCGCGTGCAAAACCACTTGGTTCCTGTTTTCCTCTCGTGCCACCTTCATGGCAGTTCCGTCTGATCATTCGGGATGCGGTTGGGCCCGTTTTTTTCTTTTATCATTCCAATCATCTGTGGTTTTTAACATTCTTGGTCTCCTCCCTTATTGCGCAAACTTTTTCCTATCGAGATCAAGTTCACACAGGGATGTTCTGAAATGTTCCTTCAGCATTTGCACAGATGATCCCGGATTTGTTCTTCGATGTCAAACCCGATACAGCAAACTGGACCCAAACTGTTGTACCACTGCTTATTTGACAGATCAGTCAAGGTCCTGATGGTAGATGATTGCATTTTCCTTTCTATAAGCATCACAGTTCTCGTAAAAAAACAAAAAACTCTGTTTTAATATGAACAAATTCCACAGAACTGAGTAGATGCCAGCATGTCACTTTTAGGCGTTATCTTTTCAAGCTCATTGTCCCAAATTGTTACATGTAGCTTTCGGATCCCCTCTTTAATCTGGCCTTCTCTCTAGTGGACATCAAACATGGTCCTTCTGCAACAATGATCATTTGATATGAGTCTAAGTTTATAATTTCAGGTTTGAGGGCCTGTGACACAAACCAGATTGAAACTGAACAGCCTAATGTCTAAGCTCCACTCTGAGGTAGAATAAATGACCTGAGCTTGCGTTTTTTTAACTTCAGGGATAGTCTTTGCCCCTTACGGACCGGTGTGGAAACAGCAGCGCAGGTTCTGCCACGCCACCCTGCGGAGCTTTGGCCTGGGGAAGCTGAGCTTGGAGCCTTGCATCCACCAGGGCCTGGCCACCATCAAGGCCGAGCTGCTGAGACTGAGCGGGGAGAGGGGCCAGGGCGGGGTGGACCTGACCCCGCTGATCAGCAACGCCGTGTCCAACGTCATCTGCTCCATGGTGCTGGGGCAGCGCTTCCACCACGAGGACCGGGAGTTCCGCACCCTGCTGGACCTGATGGTGCACGGGCTGGAGATCTGCGTCAACAGCGCCGCCGTCCTCATCAACGTCTTCCCCTGGCTCTACTACCTGCCCTTCGGAGTCTTTAAGGAGCTGCGGCGGGTGGAGAGAGACATCACCGTGTTCCTCAAGAGGATCATCGCGAACCACCGCGAGACGTTAAACCCGGACAATCTGAGGGACCTCACAGACATGTACTTCATGAAGATTTTGGCCCAGCAAGCTGCCGAGGAGCCGGAGGGCGGCTTCACAGAGGATTATCTCTTTTATATCATCGGGGACCTGTTCATTGCGGGCACTGACACCACTACTAATTCAGTTTTGTGGGTTCTGCTCTACATGGTCTTACATCCAGACGTCCAAGGTAAAAACATCACTCGTGAGAGCCAAACTTTTTCTATTGGCCTTGAAAGTTTCACTTCACAGTTTCGGAGTTTGTTGTTAAGATAAATGAAAGGGAAACCTGTATGTAAAGAGATGAGGCAGCATTGTTTTTGCCTCAAAATGTTTTTTCTAGATGAATGAAAACCATATTAGTGCAAAAAGGAAATGGAACCTGCTGCAGTAAGCAGCAGCTCTTATACTTGCGGGTTTTTAATCTTCCCTATGTCTAATTTGCCATTGCGTTCAACCATCTATTTGGCTGTTTAGAAACCACAGAAACTTCATTGTTTTTCCCTTCAAATGTCGATGAAATAATCAAATGAGAGCTATGCCTCATATGTTGCCTTCTCCTATGACCATGTGATGGCAGACAAAGTCCAGGCAGAGATCGACCAGGTGGTGGGAAGACATCAGGTTCCATCTATGACTGATAAGGGACATTTGCCCTTCACTGAAGCCACCATCATGGAGGTGCAGAGGCTCACAGTGGTGGTTCCAATGGCTATTCCTCACATGGTCTCAGACACCAGAGGTAATAAAGAACTCCCCTCTGCCATTCTGCAGACCAGTGGACGTCTGAAGCATGTTAAAGAGCTGTATCCTAGAAATGCAAAGCCCCCTTTTTTCTCTCTTTCAGAGTTCAGAGGATACACCATTCCAAAAGGAACCGTTGTTATACCCAACCTGTGGTCTGTTCATAGAGATCCCACTGTGTGGGAGGATCCAGACACCTTCAACCCAGCAAGATTCTTGGACGATAAGGGAAAGTTGCTCAGGAAAGACTGCTTCATGCCATTTGGAATTGGTAGGCCTCATCCTCTCGCTCACTCACATCAGCAGTTGTTTCCAAACGTTAAAATATGGTTTCATTTCATTGCTTGCAAAGAGATGGGATGATTCTGTCCTTTTATGCGTCAGGTCACAGAGTGTGCATGGGCGAGCAGCTGGCGAAGATGGAGCTGTTCCTGACTGTCACCAGCTTACTGCAGGCCTTCAAATTCAGACTCCCAGAAGGAAAGCCTCCTCCTCCCATGCAAGGACGCTTCGGCCTGACGCTGGCTCCCCACCCGTACACCGTGTGTCTGAGCCCTCGCAGCGGCCCCAGTCAAACACATCTGATGTAGGTGCTCTCACATTAAGGATCTTTAAAAAATCAACAGTATATAAAGATATATATTTTTTGACCAGAGTTTGGATCTTCTGTATGGTTTAAGATAATTTCATTTGATTGATTGTAGAATATTTTCTGAATATTGTCTATTAATGGTGCACATTTTTTAAAGTTATAAGCTTAACTTAATATCTGATAAGTAATATGATATTTTTGCCCTTTTAAAAGAAAATATTTTTATAAAGAATATCAAATGGCTTTTGATTCAAAAGTAAATCTGCTGAACAACTGTTTTATGACTTTATGCACTATGTTAAAAAGTGAATATATATCTGTGAATATGATTTTAGAAGTAAATCTTGTGTTTTTCTGCACCAGACTGTCAAAATATATTTCCTTAAACACATATAGCTCATTGGAGCTATTTCAGTGACAATTATTGCAATGACGATTATTTTCAGACATGCTCTGACTGATTTTAGCTGTATTTTTTCTTATAATTACAATGGACATAGGACAGAGTATTCAATTCAGTCCAAAAAACTTCAATGAAACTGTACTTTACAAATGCTGCTGAGAAGTGTTTTTTGTGTGAAACAGAATGGCAATTGTGATTTCTGAGAAAAACCATTGCAAGGCTTCTGAAAAAGAATAAACGTCACTTTTTCAAATCTTATGGGCTAATTCTTATTTGGAAGAAAAAACACAAGAGAGAAGTGTAGAGAGAAGTGTCCATTTCAACCAGCAGAGGGCGCAGTTGTGCTCGTCTTAAACTCAAGGCTGAACTTCAGGTGGATTTCTGAGTTATTTTTCATCATGACAGCAAGTTGTATCATCCACAGTAGAACCAGACCCAAACCACTCTGGCCCATGTGTGTGTATTTATATTTTTCTGTTGGGTAAACTGTGGCTTCAAGGGAAAGATCGATAAAAAATCTACTTTTTGTTTGCCTAAGCTTTACTCCATTGCACAATCAACATTTACTGCTTGTTTATGACTGAAACTGTGATGTTAATAAAGAGATCAAACGCTGACATGCAAATTAGAATTTACTTTGCTTGATTACAGTTGGCCAGGTTACATCTTATGTGTATGTGATTAAAAAAATGTAAACAAACACATTTTATTATTAACTTTACAAGTTTTTCTCCATGAAAGAGAGGCAAATGTTCCACCTTTTATGATTACAGTGCTCATCAGCTTTAATACAAGTAATTGGTTAGAAACATTCAATGATCTACTGAAAGATCACCAGTTCATGAATACTGTACATTTTGATGTACTTTATACAAATCATATACATCTGGTACACATGTCTTCAGGTTCACCAACTTTTATGGGTTTTTCTTTTGCACAATGAATGCTTAGTCCTGACATGTAGTCAGATTCAGTAGTCAGATTCATAAACATCTCCATCACATCCCAGTTCTCTTTTGCTTTGAAACTGTGTATCTTTTTCTTGAAAAAATACCTGCAGATCTATGTTTTAATATAAATTACACACAAAAAAATACGTCTATAAAAGTAGGCATTGTGGCGTCTTGTGATAAAAGAAAAGCAGGAGGTGGCGGTAACGGTAGCTGTTGAGATGGATCGCAACAGCAAAAAAAAAAAAACGAAGAAGAAGAAAACGATGCGTCGCCTTGGGATCACGTGACCGCTCACCCCTGCACACCATGCCCTTCACTGGATCTGGTCTGCGGAACATGGCTTTCTACGCTCATCAGCTCCGCAGGGGCTTCTCCTCCTCGGCTGTCAGAAATGTTGTCATTAAACACATTATGGTCATCGGAGGCGGACAGATGGGAGCAGGGATAGCGCAAGTAAGAGAGCACACAGACTCCGAAGTTAGCGTCGTTATGGACGATAAAGTTTTCCGTAGGTTCGGGGGACTGTGGCTTCTCCTGGTCCAGGTGGTCGTATTGGCTTCTATTAGTTGGAAGGAGGTCTTTCAAGTAGTTAAATTTAATGTAATTGAATGTCGTTTAGAGAAGGTGTGCTGTACTTTTTGTAGCCAAAATGTATTTTGGCCAAAATGACCAACATGTCGCCTAATTGTACTGAAATAGTTGCACCTGTGGAATTCCGTCATGTTGTGTTTGCATAAGTTTTAAAGATATAAGACAATATAAGATGAAAAAATGTAAGATATAGGATTGTATTCGTAAGTTGTTGTTTTTTTCATGAATGGATACAGAATAAAAAAACAAAAACAAAGTTACCCATCAAAATACTAGCTAACTCGTCCTAGGTTGTGTTGATTGAACATTCCATCTGAAACCATCAGTGCATGTTTTATGCTATAAATCTGTTTGGAGCACAGCTTTCAGATGTTTTTCCAGGAAAACTTACAACTGCTTTGGTAATCTGCTGCTGGAACTCTTGTGATGAGTGGGGGAAATGATAAAAGTCAGTCCACATGTAGAAGGTTATATATCTGTTACATATTTATAACAGGTCTGTACATACAGGACCTTTTCCTTTCTTGAAGTTTAATTAGTAATGAAAGTACTGCAAAGTTAATCTTTTTTTATTTCAGCAGTGACAACGTAGTAAACCCAGTAAAGCTTTATGAACTGAATTTTGAACTCATTTGTGTACGTCAGGTTGCCGCATCAACTGGACATACAGTGACTCTGGTGGACACGTCAGAGGACATCCTAAAAAAGTCAGTCAAAGGGATCGAAGGGAGCCTGAGAAGAGTGGTGAAGAAGAAGTTTGCCGACAAGCCGGAGGTGAGATGCTGGACAATTGCTGAGGGGAAATGCGGGATGACGAGAATGCGTCATTGGAGAGTGTTTGTGTTTTTTTTCCAGGCAGGTGAGGAGTTCATCCAGAAAGTCATGCAGAATGTGGCCATCTCCACAGATGCGGACTCCGCCGTTCAGACCTCAGATCTCGTGCTGGAGGCCATTGTAGAAAATCTGAAGATCAAGCAGGATCTTTTTGGCCGTCTTGACAAGCTGGCAGCAGCGTAAGCGCAGCCTCCATTTAGATTAGAGGCGGATGCCTACTTTATAGGATATGTTTCACAACAAGCAGGCAGTTCTGAAACGTGGACCAGGTCTTCAATATTCTTTAATGTGTCAACATGTCATTTTTCAAATCCATTATTTCATCTGAAATGACATACATGCTGCTCTGCCTTTCCAGTTTTACATATTTCTTCATGAATAAGATTGAAACTTAATCAAATATCTGCACAAGACTAAACAGAGGTGAGAAAAATGTTTTACAGACACATCAGATTAAAAAAGGTGTTTTCATTATTTGTTTGTAGAGATGGTCCTGTTCAACTATCTCTGCCCCACATCACTGACAGATCAACACATTTAAAAAGACGTTACATTTCTTAGTAAAAATATTCAGACATCTTGTTAAATTGAGCTTACGAATGAATAAAGAAGAGAAGAACATTAATCAAAGCTTAACTCAAAAGTCTATACACTAATCATGCAGAAATGCTGGAAAAGAGCCAGTAGCAAAGATGTACAAAGGAAAAGCCTGAAATTCTCTGACTGGAAACATGAAGTGACAGTTATCACTGCAGAAATCACAGGATGTGCTCAAAGCAAAGGCACAGTATCACTTATCACAGATAAAGGAATGAATTAAGCATTTTCATAACTGCTTCTAAGTTCTTTAAGACGTGTTCAAATCTGATGTTAAAATCTCAAGAAATATCACAATTTTATCATTGTTACCCGTTTTTTGGGTACATTGCCCTGTTGTCCTCAGACTCTCTGTTCTTCTTATTGCAGACACACCATCTTTGCCAGCAACACGTCCTCCCTGCCCATCACCGACATCGCCAGCTCCACCCACAGGCTGGACAGATTTGGTGGCCTTCACTTCTTTAACCCCGTCCCTATGATGAAGCTGGTGGAGGTAGGACAGAAGCTCTAACACAGATCAGACCGACTGCATAAGTTGTAAATTTTGTATACGATTGCCTAGTACTGTGGTCATAAAAATGAGAAAAATCATCTCACTGTCAAACTGGCATGAAAGTGCACTTTGAACTGGTTGAACTGAGGCCCAGCTGCTGGCCGTATACAGCAGGTGTGCTGTGAAAGGCTGAGCTAACTCTGTCTGAGGGGCTGCTTCTCAGCAGTGGGTGGTGTCGTAGGAGATCCAAACAGAATCTGCATTCTCTCTGTGAGAATTTGATTGGTAACGCAGTCTTTCTCTCATTCAGCTTCTTTTTTCCTTCTTTTTGCAAATGATTGGCTTCATATTTATATTGAAATAAATGTTTGTCTTGAACATTTTAACCAGGTACTCGTGTCACATCAGCTTGAAAGGTAAAACCATTTGAGTGTAAATCAGGGATGTCCCGATCCAGAGTTTTTCTCTTCCAATCCGATACCGATATTGTATTTGCACTTCTAATCCGATACCGATCCCGGCCTATCAGAGAATCTATTAAAGTTTAAAATTATTTAGCCTTACTTAGTTGTCAGACTCATAATGAACAGGGTTTTACTCTTATAACAACTTAATGGTTAGGACACAGATCTGTGGGTTAGGAGATGCTAATGCTCGTGTGGGGTCTGGATCGGCATTTTCTCCTGCCGGCCGATATGCAGTTTTTTGCGAATATCGGCATCCGATCCAAATATCGGTTCGGGACAAGCCTAGTGTGAATATGGTAATGGTGGAGTTGTAACTGTAATTATTACTCATCTGCAGGTGATCAGAACCTCTGCAACAAGCCAGGAAACGTTTGATTCCCTCCTGAACTTCAGCAAAGCCCTTGGAAAAACACCAGTATCCTGCAAAGTAAGATCCCACTCCAGCTGTTCAGAACACACACAACTGACCCAAAGCGGTGTGACCAGTGACAGTCAGTACGCTGCCTCTTTATTCAGGATACGCCCGGGTTCATCGTAAACCGTCTGCTTGTTCCTTACATGATGGAAGCACTCCGGCTGTATGAGAGAGGTGCGCGTGTCTTATCGGCTTACTCAGCTGTGCTCTCTCCCCTGTTATTCACGTTTGTTCTTCCTCAGGTGATGGATCCAAAGAAGACATTGATATTGCAATGAAACTTGGTGCTGGCTATCCCATGGGACCCTTTGAGCTCTCTGACTATGTAGGACTGGACACAATGAAGTTCATTATTGATGGTGAGGGAAACTGCACGAGCAGTACGAGCGTGAAGAGAATCAGAACTCGTGGATGAAGTGTAAATGTGCTCTCTGTGTCTTTAGGTTGGAGTGCGGCAGATCCTGAAAATCCAATATTTGCCCCAAGCGAGCTGCTGAACAAGCTGGTTGCAGAGGGCAAATATGGCAAAAAGACAGGAGAGGGATTCTATAAGTACAAGTAATTACAAGCGGGGTTGAGATCAGCCGAAAAAACTAAAGTGATCATGCTTTCGAACATGAACTGAAAAATAAGAAATAGAAAAGTGCCTGTTGATCGTTCTAAAGCCATCCATTGATACCCACTGACTTAACAAATGTCTGAATTTAAATCTCATTAAACAGTTTTACAGAAACTTCTGATCATGCTCAGTGTTGATGATCCATGCTTATGGGGAAAATAGAAATTAGACACTTTCCTTTTGTTACTGTGGTCTAAGGCCTGTCGTATTGAAGTGGCTGAGCTGAACAGGGCGGTGCTAAAGGAGCAAACTGAACACTAGCCTAAATTTAGTAACAGTTACCCAGTCATAGCCAAAATAAAGACTGCCATAATTATTTCACAGCCTTGATAACACAAGAAAATATTGTACCAAATGTTATACCAATTCAGCTGCTTTAGCAGAATTGCCCCAACGTGGACACAAGGTGGTGCTGTTCTCTCAGAGATCAGGCTTGTGATAAAGAAATTCCCAGAAGTTTGTACTTTTTACAGATGGATATTTAGTCAGCATGAGTCATTAAGACCTCGTGTGCCTTTGGACTAAAATGTTTTTAAATCCTCTAGTGTAGCAGGATTGTCTCTGTAATGATCACAGAGACATCTTACAACGTATCAGGGACTTTGCGTTTTTAAAAACGTAACAAAACAAAACTTGTTCATTCATTTTGCATCACTGAGTTGCTGCATCCCATGAACACTCGACCACGCCCTCAAAGGATGACACACAGACTTTTACATCCGGCCCATCTAGCTCAGGTGTTTCCATCATACAAGCAATCGAATGAGCCAATGGTGCCTTTTTATTTTTCCTTAAAAAAACAAAACATATTGAAACGATTCAAATATGACCACTTGGGGAGCAAAATGCTACACCAAGATGACAGTGACCCAAAATGATAGTTGGAAAAAAAAAATCATCAAGTAATACTAAAATAGAGCATTAAAATCAAAATGTTACAGAGATGTTTGCATGGAATAAACAACATGGCTAAAGACCACACTATAAGCTACCAGAGAGAGAAAAAGACAAAGGTCCATTGCAATAAAAGAAAGACTGTCAAGTGCTGGGGTAAATATATATATCTGCTTCATCTGTCATGTTTGAGAACAATAAAATATAGGCCTCTGAGCTGTCACTCTCGCCTTTGTCCTAATGTAGCCTGCAAAAATACCAAGAAAATTGACAAATCCTGACAGTTGTTAAAAAGTACACATACAGAGCATTATTTTACATCTGAGCAAGACTCGAGGTCACTATTTGTTACAAATAGTTATCAAAAGAAGCCTTAAGTTTCAATTTTCTGAAAGACGCTTCAACAAGAAAAATGGCTTTCCTGTGTCCAAAGCTTATTTTTCATATATACCACTATATTAAAAAAAAAAACAATATTAAAAAAAAATATACATCAAGAAGTTAAAACAAGGGTTCAAAGTACAAAAAGGAAGAAACAAACGAAAAGCAAAAAAAAAAAGAAGCAAAATAAAAGTCAGTCTAAAATTTAAATCAAAATTGTTGATCCTTTTTTTGCACCAACTTGGTCAGCAACAAATCAAAAATGGCGTCTTGAGGACGTTTCTTAGACAGGATGAGATCCCTCCATCTTCCTTAGTGCAGTCTTAAAAAAAGAGGTGTTTGGTCGGTGGGGTGAAGCCCCGGGTGGTCTGAAGAATCCAGTGAGTGGGGTGTGGGTCGGGGGGTGGTGTGGGGGGGGGTAAATGTCGACCTTCTGGACTATACAAAAAGGAGCAGGCGACAAATAACTTAGAATAACTTAGTGACGGGTGTCCGGAGTGTTTGGGCGGTGCGGGGGGGTGAAGTTTGTGCGCACATCGCAATTGCTGCTGTTTTTCAGTGCAACGCCTGGAGATCGCTGTGAAGCTGATGTTTAAAAAAGGAAAACCGACTGAACACTGATGCTGAGCTGATGTTTTCTGGGCGGAGAGGGCGTGTTCACGTGAGGGTGCTCTGAGTAATCGTGATTGTCTGGTTTCAGTTCAGTGTCTCTACAGCAGGCGCCTTCGGGAAAGGGGGCGGAGTCAAACTGTGAAGGGGTTTGGGTGATAGGGTAGTGTGTGACTGTGTTTGGGGGGGTTAAGAGAGTTAAGAAGGTTAGGGTGAGGAGGTGGAAGGGTGGGAGTGGGTTTCCTCTGAAAGGTGGAGGCTTCAGTTGGGAGATTTAAGGGTCTTCATGGAATCTAACAGGCCTCCATCTCAAGCAGAGGGCCTGTAGCTGCTGCCTTCGCTTTGCACGTGGAGAAACCGTTCCGTTTTCCTCCTGAGGAGACAAAAGAAAGGTTTGTCAATTGCACAAAACTGAGGTGAGAGAAGAAGAAAAAAAAAACGGCTTCATTTCATCACACCGTCAACAGCCCTCACACAGACTAAAACCGAAAGCAGCCGCTTTTCCGGGTGACTCGGGGTGACTGATAGGTGTCTCATTCAGCAGGAATGCCTCTCCGCTCCAGCCCGACACACAAATATCTGTCACGGCCTTCTACGCGATCAATCACTCGAGCGTTTTTTTGTTTTTTCTCCATCTCGCAGCTGACGGAATGGGAGCCTTTGCAGCGGCGCTGAACTACAGCGGGGTTACAGGTCAGCGACAGGATGTGGGCCGGCCCGGCTTTGATGTGGTCCGGCGTGGGGGTTGCTGTGACCCAGCTGGCTCCCCTCTCAGCGCTCATTCCTCCTCTCACCCGGCCGCGCGGCTCCTGGCTGACATTTAAAGCCTGTGCTGCAGGTGGGCAACGTGAAAGCAAGAAAAAAATGGCATTCCGGGTTCATCCGCGCGCCCACGGCCTCCCGTCTTCAGACGTTTTCAATCCAGAGATTCGTGGGTGGCCAGAAAGAGAAAAGCCCCACATGAAAAAGTCCCAACGTCAAGGCCACTTGACCCACACTTCGGCTCCTCAGATACAGAGTTCAAAGGTAAACACATCCCCCGGCTCACTAGAGCGCTGCCTTTACAAGAGACGCCAACCATCGGGATGAAAGCGGCCCTTTTTAAGTCCACCTCCAGTTTTTAATCGCGTTAACATGCCGGTAAGATGTTTTAACGTGGTGCAAGACATGGGAGCAAAGCCCAGCCACCGGTCCAAAGCTTGGGCTTTTCTGCTTTACTGAAAAGCTAACGCAGGCGGGTGGAGCAGTGGGAGGAACAGGTGAGCATATTCATGAATGAGCATCCTTTAAAAAAATCCTTTTTACCATGAAAAAGGGGAAAAAAGAAAGATCTTCCTAAATCCTCATCAGAACCCACCAATAACACGTATTTCTACCTTCACAAACAAGCTTAAAAAAAGAACGTTTAAAAAAAAAAAAAAATCATGCATAAAGTACTGGAGTCATTTTGCTCCATGTGGACCATTCGTAACTTCAAGACAGAGCAGGTGAATCTCTTCAAGCCTGCAATGCTTGGGAATCGAGTTCTTAGCTGAAACGACTCCAAATAACCAGGCCTTTTCCAGGTCACGGGCTCCCACTCGGCACCAGTACGCAGCGGGTTCACACGGGCAGATTTCGGCTAAAGTTTTGCGGTTTCTCGGTGACACCAACGTTTCGGCCGCTCGGATGCTGGCGCTGCTGGCCCCGTCCCTCACGGGGATTTGATTTGTCAGACGGCAAAAGCCTTCTTTTTTTTTCTCTGAGCTGGAGTTAACATAACAGAGATTCAGCTTCAGTTATTGACAAGCCAAGGAGAGCTATTTTAGACCCCGAACAACATCAAATAGAATCTGTGATCAAAGTGGAGAGACAGAGGTGGGTAGAGGCCTCCTGCGAATAAAGAGATGGATGTTTTGTGAGGAAAAAACTAAGAAAAAGAAACTATCAGTTTGCTTTTTCTTCTTCTTCTTCATGGCAGAGCTGAGTGTGTTTTTTTGGGAGAGGAGTCAGTTGAGCCCTGCTGCTCGCCGCATCTTAACTCCTTAAAGTCTGACCACACACATAAACACACCACCCGGCTAAACTGCTTTACCACATGTGGATAAAAGGGAGCCGGACCGGGGTCACCTTTCCCCTTGGAGAGCTGACCCCGGAACAGCGCGGGGCAGATACAGAAAGGAACACGGCGCTCCAGAGGAGAAGAAAAAAAAAAAAAGAGGGAGCCCCTGTCGCTTTTATTTACCTCCTCCGCCTCCCCTCTTTTCATCCCGGGATCTCAAAGCCGGCCCGCACGCCCGGCCCCTGCACCCAGTTTCCTGGGGAGCATTTTTTCCTTCCCCCCACCACAGACATGAAAAGCACCGGCCTTCCTGCCCGGGGAAGAGTCCTGAGGGGCCGCCGGCGAGTTCATGTGTGCGCCAGTGGGAGAAGAAAAAAGAAAAAAGAAAAAAAAAAAGAAAGAAAAAGTGCTGGGTTGTAGGGGGCAGAAGGCCAGCGCTTCACAAGGTCCGGCCGACACACACACTGGGATTCAGAAGCAACTTGACCCTCCTCCCCTCACCCCCCTCACCTCCCTCCATACCCTCCTCAGCCTCTTTCTACATTAGAGCTCAAGAATGCTGGCTGGAATTTTTTTTTTCTTCTTCTTTTTTTTTTGCAGGAAATGAAACGCTCCTCTGTTCAGAGGGTGAGCAAAGGTTTAGTCTCCCCTGCCTTCTCGCTCCCCAATTCCTTTGCCCCCACATGACTGTGGGAGGGAGGGAGGGAGAGAGAGGGGGAGGGAGGGAGGGAGGAAGGAGTCGGAGGAGCCCTCACCCGGCTTTTGAAGTGTGGGAGGTTAAGATAACTGGCACGGCCTCGCGCCTCAATCACCGCTTTCACCTCCCAGGACAAATCAAAGCGCCCGCAGCTGGGGCCCCCGCCGCCTTCAGGCCCTCTAACCTCCACCCCAGCAACCCATCCACCTCCTCAGTTCCCCTCGCTCCCTTCTTCAAGCTCTGCTTTTCTTTAAACTCTCTTTTCTTTTTTTGGTACCATTAAAAAGAAAAACACTGCTGACAAATTACACTAAAAATAAGCAGAGTGGTGCTGGTGGCAGAAGGGGAGGCGTAGACTTTAACATGGCAGAGACATGAAGGGAGATTTGGAGGAGAAAAACGAGAAAGACCGAATGGTTTGAGGGAGGAAAAATGCAAGCTAAGAAATGCATCTTTGAAGGGGAGGATTCTGGAAGAGACCGGGCTGCACTTTAATATCAGCACTGTAAAGTTTATCCAAAAAGTCTGAAACATGGAGGGTTGTCTCAGTGTCACAGGAATAGATAACGGTCTGTGTTTGGCTCTTTTTTTTTTACTTTAAAATCGTTCAAACAGATTATTTCTGCCAGTGTTTTTCTGATCTTGTAAAGAAAAATTCACAAAACGTGGCTGTTTTTTCTGGGCCTGACGAGCCTCCAGCAGGACTACCCGGTTTCCCCTTCAGCTGAACTCGTGTTTGCTCTAGCTCAGCCCAGCTTCTCACAGAAGGCTCCACTCTATAAAACCGAGGCGGCACTGCTCTCCAGAACAAAAGGGGGGGAAATAAAAATGGACACTTAAAAGAGGAAACGCACCTGGAAGAAATAGCGATCTTTTAAACACGGGCACAGTCAGCACTTTCTTCAGCTCTGAGACTCGCATTTAAGAGAAAATGCTTAGATATTTTCCCCCCACCTCGAATCAAAAGGATGACTCAAGGGGCTGTATCTTTTCTGCTGGGGCTATCGGAAAGTTAAAAAAACAGGGAGTCGGGAGGGGCTGAGACTGAGAAAGAAAGTGGAGAAAAACAGAGCCTGCGTTAAAGCCGGAGAGGGAGGAAGGGTGGGGTCTGGTTGTGGTAAAGGAAAAAAAAAATAATAATAAAAAGGGGGGGGAATGGGGCTGGATAAGTCACCCAAAGCCCAGACCTCAGGCATGCGTGGGTGAGACTGAGGATAGGGGGTGGGGGG